TTACAGGCCTGTTGCGCTATTTATATTGGTGGTTTTTGTATTAATTTTTGTACAGCATTGATTGAAGTAGCCGGCGAAAACATCGTAGTAGCCGATCGAATGCGCCGGCCACCGGCTCTTAAATAAACCCCTGCCTACCATGCTCATAAAAAGGTCTGCTATAGGAATAGACTTGAAAGACAGAAAATTATCCAAATTACAGTATACCAGAGGCAAACTATTGATAAAATTGCAAATGATAAATGGCTACTGTGGTTGAAAAATTACAGTTTCTTTCTTCTTTCTCCTCTCTGTTTGCCATGCTACTGCACTATCATGTTAATATCCATAAAGTAAGCATGACATTTTGCACTCTCTCTGTTCAGGTCACATTAATCCATGCAATGCTGGAATTCTTTCGCAAACAAGTATACAAATCCATGAATGTAATCTCATGTGTTGATTGCCTGTTGGTTTTGATAGTGGCTATTTGTTTAAGCTAGTCTTACATAGTAACATTCCTAGCTAATGAGACCCTGTTAAAACACAGGTCTTCAGATAGTAAGTTTGAGATCTCCTGACTAATATTTACAATGCCACGTGGCTGATTATTGAAAACTAAAACATAGAAATAACTTGCTCACAAGTTTACAGGCTAATTGTCTTCATGACCTATCTTCTTAATTTCTGAACACATGCATTATTGTATTATGTTTTATCACTAACACATGGTGAATGGGAGATTATGCTCATCCATATTTTAATGCAATACAGTGTAGTTTGAGAAATTGTTAACTGGCAAGGTGATAGTTGATAACATTAATAAACTCTAAATAATAAGAGAAAATGTTAAGGATGGATAAGTGAGTTATAAGGGTGAGTGGAGGGCTATGAAATAAGCTTTAGACTGGGTGGAAAACCTCATGGCTGTGTGGCCCCACCCACCATAACTGCTGTACATCTCTGGTGTAAGATTAACACATGTTCTATGTTACAGTCATGAAAATTTGTAAGAAAAGTTGTCATCGCATCATGGAGGCCTGTAATGTCCCTCCTGAGATATTAGGTATGGATTAATGTCCATGAGGCGCGGTTCTTATTTTTCATTGTTGACGTCGTGCTGTAATAGGATAAAAAAAACAAATATACAGTAACATTATTAACTACGCTAGTCCAATAATCTGACTCTACCGTATGCCCTTTACAATGTCATCCAAGTCATTGGATCAGTATCGTATCATGACGTGCACACCGTTCCATAAGTAGCTGAAATCTCTTTATCCTACAGTATTGCCAAGTACCCGCTACATTCCTGGATGTAAGGAAGATATGGATTAAAAGTGCTCTTCCCAAGAACACTAGCAATATGCATAGCAGAGACTCAAAAACCCCAGTGTCAACTGACACAAGGGCATTGGTACTATTGTTTTATTAATTACCTTTACAGTCTTGCTCTATTAGATGTGTTGATAATTGATATATCATAATTTAATTTTCTTTTTCTTAGGCTGGTATGTTGGATAATAATAGTGGGCTACAGACACTGAAGGACCACAATTTGCAGCCAACTGCAACAAAAGGTAAATGCATGGTGGCTAGGGTGGTTATGGTTACTTACATATAGGTCAATGAAAAAGGTACTACAACAACTACTATTATCAATGTCTTTAATTCATACATACCAATTGACTTATACAGCATATACATTTGCTGTAGCTCCTCGTATGTAAATCTACCACCCTTGAACAAAAAATTAGGTTGATTGTGGGTGTAGTGGGGGCGTCTACCTTAGGAATTAAAAGCAGGAAATTTTCAGCACTGTCTGCTTACAGTAAAGCTCTGATCAGACTATCACATTTTCTTTGACAAAAAGCTGTTGTATGCTCATAGTCAAGTACAGTATATGGTAATGATGTGATGTCATCATGACCATATTTAGGCATGTCACATATTTTTGTCAAATAAATTTTGATAGTGTGGACAGGGTTTAATTCAAAGTCTTTTTTTTTTTAGATTTTTTTTTTCTATGAAAGCAATTGTAATAAAAGGTCAGCTGATCATACCCTGGACTTTTTGACTGAGGAAAGTCTGGTACATAAAGTTGGGCGTAAAGAAGGGGATAATAATAATAATAATAATAATGGTTGATTTATAGAGCACATATTATGGAGACCTCTAATCGCTTAACATAAACATGGAAAAACAAGAACAAGTAACACCTAATCTAACCCTAAAGACAAACCAATCCTACTCCTTAAACTAAGCATGGTTTTGGCGGTTGACTCCAAGGAGATAGGCTCATACCTCTGGAGTGCTTGTGCAGAGAAACAGGCCAAGTACTTAATACTAGGTAGCTAATTTTTGTGTAGGCGGGGGTACAGTACTGTAGGTAATAAACCTTGTATCTGCTCTATGTTTGTATTTACTTTAACTTTGGCTCAGATTTTACATTGCTAACGTAGCGTGTTCCATATCTTCATACTTTTGAACGAGTCAACATAGACATGACAATTATTGGACCTTTAAACTCGTCCCAACAAATAATTAAAATAGAAATGTTTGCAGATTGCCCATCCCTCTCGGGTGATCATTAAAGAACTGTTAAATACCACCATGCCGTTGCTTAGGCTAGAATGCACACTATATACCAAATTCAGTTTCATTTGTTTTTACTGCAAACAAAACTGGCAGTGTGTATAGCACTAATATACAGGGGATTAGCCTCATTCCTTTATTGCTTGGTGTCTCATTTACATATGAAGGGGGTATATTTTATATTGGCAAGTTCCTCCATGCTCTCACTTGGCTTTCAGCTACATTAGGGAATATGATACTCAATAGTACAATGAATGTTCAGATTTTGAATTAAGCACTAGGAGATTCCATACCCCTATAGAAGACAAAGGAGGATCTGAGAGTAGACTTTTCTATTAATTAATGAAGAACAGCAAATAGTAATTATCTTTAAAAAGTACTTAGCAAGTATGTACGAAGTTCTTTTGCATGGTGAATTTAAGGACTGAACATAAGAACAGATCTCGCTTACATTAGGCATAAGAAATAGTGTTACTACAGTATAAGCCCATCTTATGTTGTAGGCTAGATTTTAGATGGTAGCCTTTATCCGAGAATAAATCCAAGGTTGATACATGCAACTGTACTGTCCTTATCTATTCCTGAAATGACAGGCTAGTATTGAAGTTTTCTAGTTATATTAAGCCATTAAAATAATTGACCCTGATTCCGTCATCTCGCTAACCTGTCATCATAAGTTGAAATGTTGCATTACTTTGACTAGGCCTATCGCTATGGAGCTACTCAACTCGTACATTTTTCTGATGCGTAACAATACCGTACATAGTACCCAACCACTATCATGAGTTTTCAAGAGCTGTACAGTACAGTACTTATTTAAAGAGATTCCCAAATAAAAACAATAACTAGGATAAAAATTGTAAGATTCTCCAAAATCTTTGGGTACCATCCGAGTGTAAGGCCATGCACCTATTTTTGTGTGTGTAGCTTGTAGCCATTACCCTGTGCTTTTAAAAGCTATTATACACATGGTGATTGGTTTGAGAGCTGTAGTACAGTACTCTATGTACCGTACAACTGCGAGTGTAATTATCACAATTCAGGTATCAATCCTACTGTAGCCAACATGGGCTATTTATTTTACTTAATCGCTCAGAAGACCTTGTTTTTTGGTTCATTGTACATGACTAAATAAAGAATGAATTAATTGCATGAATAGACAGTTAGTTATGAGGAAGAAACATGGTTTATTTTAGAAGGATGAAGAACGGGAAGATGATGGTACTGTTTGGGAGAGGAAGGAGATTAAAGAGAAAGCTAGAAAAAATGAGAAAAATAGTGTAACACATTTGAAGAAAAGAAGTAGGGATTAGAAGTGCAGAAACAAGAATTTATCATATTGATTTACAGTGGTATGTTACTGTATGTGGTGTAACACAAAATAGTAGCCAAATAAAGTTGGACAGACACTGCTTTAGCTGTGTTTGCATGTTTATGTGGGGAATTGTGTTGAACGATGGTTCTTTTAGACTGTCATCAATGATTAGCAGACAGTATTGGACAAATCTAGTGGTCAAGCGGTTAGGCAGGGGTGCCGCTTACTACAGCCTTAACATCGGCACTGGTTCTTGAGTCTTCTCGGATAAGGACTTAAAACCGGGATATTTTAAGTCCCATTGCATCTTTCAGAAGAATAGCGGGTTACCCTGATGCTATGGTTCATTTCAGCCCCTGTCATTGTGGAATGATGTGAGCAAAGGGCCTCCCTACAGCTGCTACTGTTGTCACAGACCATGCCTATACTCAATTCAGCATAATGATGCTCCCACCTTTACATTCAAGCTTTCAGACAGAGCAAAGATGTATTTGTGAGCTGACGCAGTTTGTGACCGGCTTAACTAAACTACTGTAGTATAAACGGAAATGGTCAGAAGAATCAGGAAAACTGGTAACAAAAGCAAAACAGATGAACCAAACATAACAGCACCATTTCACTAGCAGACTCAAGCTGCGTTTCTGATTTCAGTTTGGTAGGCTTTCCGATCCGAAAGTGAATGCGCATTATTGCTCATTAGCTCTCAATTTTGTTGTGATTAACATGCATCCAGAAAGGAGATAGTTATGAAAGGGAATGTTAAAATGTGAATTTTTTTTATGGCAATTTTAACTTTTCATGGAAGGTAAATAGAAAATATGGTGAAGGATCGATTGTCAGTTAAACCGCTGTAATGGATTCTGAAGTGTTGATTTTAGTCTCAACGAAGATCCTACTAAACTTGCCTACAGTATAGGAGAGCAGTACAATGTGATTAGTTTTAAATCTGACTACAGGAAGTCAGTGAAGGTCTTCAAGGAAGAGTGCAAGGCATCACTCACAACACAAAACAGTAAGCCTACAGTCTGTAAAATTCTCAACTTGCACCATTTCAGTCTTCGAATTAAAATGAAATTATTAGGAATTTTCTTTTTATAAGGGAGTGTCCTCAGTGCAGTTGTGTCAAGGATGAAATGCATGTTTGATAATGAGTAAAACACTAGTCAATAATTGTACATCTGACAACAAACTGTACTAGTTGATATACCTTTCCATGATACTGCATGTACTATTCAACATTATTAATGTTCATTAGGCACTATTAAGGCTAGAATAAATCTCAGGATTGGTGCGAAAAGTATCACGACTGCTGTGAGTCTCATCCCTGGTGAGAACATGAGTGTCCACACACCATGTGGGTGGACCTGGGTTGAACTAACTCGGTCAGACCTTTAACATTACGTTGCTACTGTAGATGTGATTGGTCAGGTTTGGGCCAGTCTACAGTCAGACGATAGGAAGCTTTCGATTTGCGCGACGACACAACGGTAAAAAGGATTCACTCATGTGTCCTACGTTCTCTGCACAACATAGTTTTAGTCAAAATTGCGTCCTCGAATCCATGCGACAACGAGTACTTAACGTTCTCGCACGCTTTTTGGGGATGTCATTATGTTCTTTGTCCTACCATCGTCATGCAATCAAAAGGTCCCTATTACTGTAAGAATGTCAACCGAGGGTCAACCTATGTACTGTAGGTTAAGCTGTCCTTGTTGAGAGCCATATCAAGCCGGGCTTGAGTCAACCATGTCAACACAGGCTTGCTCCGACTACAAAATTTCTCAACCAGTCCAAGTGATGCGTAACACGGCTCCAGGATGGCTCTTTTGTCTAATCATAGCCATGTAGAAAAAAATTGTTTATCATTCTCGTTTTTCAAAAGATATTCAGGCATGACGACGACTGGTGCCTGTACTTGCACCAAACTGTAGTGCTTTTATTTTATAGCTTACCACCAGTGGCAATTCTTTATTTCTATTTTTTTATAGGTGATTTTTTTTTTCCAAAACAAAAATTAGAGCTTTTTCTTGATAGGAAAATGGAGATCAATGTGTTCTAATTTTTCACTATATTTTTTCAAAAATGTATATATATAAAAAAAAAGGGAAGTGGTTTAACTTTCCTAACTGAATTGTTTCATAGTTTATTCCAAACCAGTGAACATGAACCATTTCTGAATGAAAGACTTTATTATGGGATAGCTGCTTGATGTACGTTCCCATCTACAAAAGGAGTGTATTCCACTACAGTTGTAGTCCACAATACCTGCACGATAAGATGCAATAGAAACCAGTACAATAAAAATCTATTTTCCCATGAATTTTATATTCATTCATTGCTTCAACACACTGTGAAATCATTCAAAGTTTTTGGATAATAGCATTCAATTGTTGGATTTTTTAAATGGCAATTTGAATATTTCTTTAAAATGTTATTTAAAACTAAATTCTGTTAGTTCATGACTAACTGATTATTTTATTAGTTGTAAGCTTATAAAATAAAGGATAATAATAATATCAATATTAAATAATTTATTCTTAATTATTAGCAGATAGGAAAACAAAAATAACAATAACTTGGTGGTTTGAAATGCTTTTCTTTCATAGCCCAAGTCCTGTGTCCAAATCAGTGAGACACATAAGGTATTTGAAGATGACTAAGGGAAAAATTACCAACAAAAAAAAAGAGCCACCACACTCTAAGCTGTATAGTGAGGCATTGATATGTACTGTTTACACTTTGGTAATGGTATTTTAGGTTATTATGGTACAGAAACCTTGCATGCTGTATGGTAGTAGTTCTGTACAGTACACAATACCAACAATACACTACATATTGTTTGATGGAACACACATACTGTATCTTGGCAAATGGGGCCATGATGAATGTGGATTATGTGGTTCAAAGGTCAAATATGTTTGCTCACACCCTCCAGGTTGTGTCCTTGGGAATGGATACCCTTAGCGTTGTGCTTTACAGTTGATTGTGATTACAAGACATCTTGTTTCTTTTAGGACAATCAGTGCAGTGAAAGTCCTATGCAGGAATGCATTTAGTGTCATGTTTGAGATCCTATTGCTACAGCTAGTAAATTTTCAGCTAGAGTGTCGCTGTTTATTGAAAGTTGTGACTTTAGAATCGGTATAGGCCTATAGCTTGAATATGGAAACATTTACAGCGTAGCTTACCATAACTTTAATATATTAAATTACAAAACATGATCTAGTATTCCCCATTCATTTCCATGAATATTAAAAAAATGTTAATAAATACACTATTGTGTACATTAACTACTTTCCAGATGATCTGTTCTCAACCATCGATCTGTTCTCAACCATTGAGGCAGCATCATACAATGTACGTGCGAAATGCATCCAATTCAGGGTCAGAAAAAGGTGTTCTATTCCAAATTTTCCTGAGAACTAGCTTTGTACTGCAAAAATCATTTGTGTCTATAAAAGGCAATCAGTTTTGTTTACTTCTAAGTAAAATTTTTAGTGAAGTAGGTGACATGAAGGCTTCAAATTGTTTTTGCATTATACCAGGAAGCTAATCATGCAGGAATTCAATTACAATTCTATGCAGAATGCAACGCCATAACACGCGGGCAATGGAATGACCCGTTCAGACTGCCAACGACAATCAGCAGATGGCGTCGCATCGTCTAGCACTACAGTACATGAAGCGGAGTTGGATTTGTCATACGATGGTCGTACTATGCAATGCGTGCCTGGCTTGGTAGACTTGTGCGACAACAGTGTTAAACTTCCTTGGTAACAATTTCTCTTTTTTTTTTTCCCCCCCCTAGGAACACTAGCACTACCTGTAGCTGTCATCCCAGGCGCTATACACTACAAGTCGTCTCCTTTGAAAGGGGAAACACAGATCTTGCCAAAGAGCCTTCAGAATCGGACAACACTCACAACGACTACAGGATCTCCTATGGTTTGTAGACCTCATGCTTGATTGTAATCTTTGCAACACAGATTCAAAATATCGTGGGCACGCTATAGAAATATGTAGTCCAGAGATGCAGTTGTGGTGGGCGAGACCACTCAGCCTTGAAGCTTTCCACCGAGTCTAAAGCTAATTTCATGGCCCTCCACCCACATTTCCTCTTCTTAAAATCCACCCTTAAAATGTTTACTAACCCACCCTTAGTTTTCTGCAGCTGCACCCTGGTACTTATGGACATTTTTCATTACATCAGTCAGCAAATTAATAGCTACTCATTTAATCTTTACAATTTACAATATAATTAGTAAAAGATGTATTTTGGCCCAACGTTGCGTGGTAAAGAGTGGGGTAGTGGATGTTACTTGTATGATTATAGGTTAATCAGATATATAACACTCTAGGAGGATTTCCATGGAAGGATCGTATATCATATTAACATTAACATCCTATTTACATCTAGAAATTGAACATTATAACCAAGCGCTTCCTAGCCAGTACCTCCATTATTAAACCAGGAACTATGTTTCCAATCAGGCTGTTATCATTAATTGTTTTCCTTAAGTAGTACCAGCAAACCATAGGACACAAGGAAATTGAATACTTCCTCCTTAAAAAAGTAATCATTTCTGTTTTGACTATTTTAAATTTTTAATGAAGAATATAATTTTTTCTGCAGAATTTGGGGACACCACAACGAACAGTTCCAACAGTATTAGGCGGAAATCCACACATACTAACACCTGTTGGGCTGGAATCACCATGGAGGTATGTCATTAACTTTGCAGTTTGTTTGCACAGTGTGCTAACTTTTACTTTCTATGCATGGCAAACAGCATTCATATTTGTAATAACTAATAGTGGAAGGGATGAACCAAGAGTCCGCAATAAAGTGCACAGTCTCTTGTGCACCCTTCAATTCAAGACCCCTCTAATTCCGAAACCCTTCTAATTCGAGACCACTTTGTCAAGGAACCAACACTATGCTAACCCTCAATGTGGAGACCGAACAACCCCGAGACCACCCCAATTTTGTAGGTCCCAAAGGTGGTCTCGAATTGCATACTGTACACTATCCACTAAGTAACACCTTTTTATATTAACCTTATTTTGCATATCAGTAGCCCACTGAGAATGATACAATTTTATTTTTGGCTTGTTTAGTGCTTGTAATCTCCTGACAAATGTTGGAAAAAAATTATTTTAATTTTTATTAAATTTTATCCCACCCTCCCATTGCCACCTTATCTTATGATAAAACGTCCTAACTTTTCTCAGAATTAAATAAATATAAAGCATTTATCACCAGGTAAAGATCATGCCCATCCCCCTAGAAGTTTGCAGATAAAATACCGAAGTAGTCAAAAGTATTGTGACCATACTGAAAATTCCACCAGTTTTACACCCACTAATATTTGTAACACTACTTCCCCTACCAATTCCCCACATATCTGCCCCTCCACCTATCAGCCTTCCCCAGGTTAATAGATACACCACTAGCACTAAAGCCTAGTTGCCTATGATTTATTTATCTAAAACCTTCATTTCATTGTGTAGATTTTATAGACCTGACAATTGCATATTAAATATACTAAAATCGGAGCGGAACTGTAATATAATATTGCATAGTAACATGGCGAAGACTGAAAGGTCAAGGGTAGAGCTCAGTAAAGTTTCCCTAATCATAAATACAGCTATGAAATGATTATTGTACTGTTTAAAAAAGATGACAAGAGATCCCAGAGTTACAATTTCTATTGCAGTAGGTAAATGTTATAAGGAGGATCTCTTACTGTACTCATATTCGCTTTTCAAATTGTACCTAGGGAAGGGTGCAAGATATAGTGGCCTATCCAAAGAACTGTCTGGTGGAAAATGACAGCCTTAAGAGGATATAAGAAGGAGTCGTTTCTAAAAATACCACAGAAAAGGGTGTAAAGGCAGTCACATTTCCAGACATACTGTACCTGGAAATTTTCACCTTCAAAAGTGCCTTGGCAAAGATAAATTACATTTTAAAAAATACTTGGAAGGATTATGTAGGTGTTATTTTCTAAGAATCCTAAAATTCTGTCAGAATTGACACCATAATTATGCCCTAGTAAGGAAGTGGACTTATTCTAGAAAAAAAGAAGATGTACCACCACAGTTGTTCATTAATATCCAAATCCTGGCATGTTTGTATTGAAATGTAGGCCTAATCTTTGACAGTGATGTCCATTAAATACTTATGTCACATTGTGATACTAGAGATGCTGACAAGACTTGGTCCTAATTCTTACCTACACAGAATCCTCACAGTATATATTTTTTTTTTCTCAGAAAAAGGACTATTTATGTAGACAGTGACAATCAAGATTTTACGTGAGTTTCTATATATTTTTTCTACCTTACTAAATCTCTGTCTGCACATATTAAAGTTTTACATGACAAATTTACATGATTTGCCCATATAGGGGTGTGATGTTGTCACACATTGTCACAACGATATAGGAGCAAAGCACACCTGTATTTGTCACATAAAAGTTAATAGTATGGACAGAAATTAATTAATTCAACCTTGATCTATTTGAACTACTTCACCCCTACATCAATCTAATTTGCCTAGCCTAACAGTAGTATAGCTAACACTTTAAAGATTTTACTGTACTGGCAGTATGTTTTGTATACGTAATGTACTTGTAGGTGTGTAAGAGCATAATGACTGTAATAGCTATAACATGACTGAACTTGAATCATGAGATCATAACTCCAAGCTATCTCATTAGTTGAGTGAAGTACTAAAACATCATGTGTATTCCTAGATGATCCCTAGGTTAGTGGTTAAAAAATGCCAACCAAGTGATTTATGCTTTTTTCAGAGGAAGTGGCAAACGAAGGAAACGGGAGAAGGAGGGCAAGGGTCTTAGACATTTTTCTAATAAAGTTTGTGAGAAGGTTAAAAAGAAAGGCGTAACATCCTATAATGAGGTTGCTGATGAATTGGTACAAGAATTTGCTGGTATTCCCCCACACCATCGATTATCACCATCAGAACAAGTAAGTATGTGCCATCAACTGTCACCCTGAAAACAAAATATGGATTAGAACCAAATAGATGTGGTAGAACCATGTAGAAAAAGTAGGGGAGTAAAATCAAGGGAGGGAGTATTACTAAGTCGGATCCATAATCAACCAGCACAAAGTGCAAACTCCTCCACTCCCTGGGGAGTATTTCTAGCCATACGTGCAATTTAATGCCTATATAGACGAATACCTGCAATGCCACATCATCCTACCAGGTACCCATTTATACTCCTGGGTGGAGAGAGGCAGATGTAAGTAAAGTGCCTTGCCCAAGGACACAAGCAATGCGACGAGCATCGGTCTGGAACTCCCGATCTCACGATCAGAAGACCAACATCTTATATACTGCGCCACACACTCCTGTACTACTGCAGACCCAGGGGTGTAAGACCAGCAACTTGTGGGTGTAGTACCACTATGTCACAGGTTTAGTACCCAGTCAGGGGATTAGATTAAAATAAGAGATGATAACATACATTGCAGCCACTGATTTGTAAAACTGAATATGAACCAGACCAGTAGTGATGCAACAGGTAGATGTATAGTAAACATGAAGTCAAGAACCAAAAATGATAGAGTTGTCACATGATTTAATTCAATTCAAAATGAACTCTCAACTTCATTCAGGTGGTTACATGCAGTGAAACCTTAGGGGACACAATTCTAAAAAATAAGAAACTTGATGATTATATGCATGTTTACATTCCTAGCCAAAGTTCACTCATCAGTTGTGAATCTCTCTTGTGCACTATTCACAAATTCAAACACTTCTTCTTTACAACAGGCACAGTATGAGCAGAAGAATATTCGAAGGCGGGTGTACGATGCCCTCAACGTTCTCATGGCAATGAATATCATCTCCAAGGAGAAAAAAGAAATCCGGTGGATCGGTCTGCCAACGAATTCAGCGCAGGAGTGTCAGAATTTGGAGCTAGAGAAGAAACAGAGGGAAGAACGAATACGACATAAGACATCACAGCTTCAAGAACTAATATTGCAGGTAATATACAGATCCTAGACAATATGATGATAATTTATTTCGAGGACTTAGTATTTAAGCATCCAAAAAATACTGCTCCATAGACTTAAAAATTGGCAGTCACCCCATTGGTTTAATTTATTTGTCATTCTGTTAATTTCAAACAATTCATTAGATTTGGATGTGTGTAATTGATGCACGTTTTATGTAGTTTTTATCTTTTTTTTTCTCAGTACAGTACTCTTTAAAAAATTGTTTGTTTATTTGCCACCATTACTGATCAATGTTAAATCCATTAGGCCTGACGATTGTGAATCTCCCAAATACAAAAATTCCACAAATTATTGACTTTTTGTGTTAATTGCACAAAAGTTAACATGGAAATATATGTGTATACTAATTGACATACTCATTTTCAACATTGATAAATAATTGCAATTATTTCTATAGCAAATTGCTTTCAAGAACCTTGTGCAGAGAAACAAATCAATGGAGCAGTCCGGATTTAGTAATGCTCCTACCAGCAGTTCCGCCATCCACCTTCCCTACATCATTGTCAACACAAGCAAGAAGACGGTGATTGATTGTAGTATATCTAATGATAAGTAAGTACTATAATATCAACTACATCCTCATCATCGTCGTTGTCATCATCATCAAAATCATAATCATCATTATTGTCATTGTCTTTATCATTGGCATCATTATAATCTAATCATTGTCGTTATTCATTATCGTCATAGTCGTCATCAGCACCACCATCTATCATCATCATATCATCTTAGCTTGAAATTTCTTTTTAAAATTTGTTTAGTCTCATTTATGGCGAGTCGAGTGGCTGAGTGGTCATCCGGGGGGTGGTAACTACAGCCTTAACATCGGCGCTGGTTCCAACCTCTCATTACCCAGGGTTTGGTTAGTAGGACCAAGTCTTCTCCGATAAGGACTTAAAATAGAGGTCTGCTGTACACATCTGGCTTGTGTGCACTTTAAAGAACACATTACATATTTCGAAAGAGTAGTGGGGTACCCCGATACTGTGGTCTATTTCAGCCCCTGTTGTGGAATGGTGTGAAGATGTAGCTACTATAAGTGCCTATTTACGGCCGCTAGGTAGTCACGGACCACGGCCATACGTAATTCAGCGCAATGACACTGAGTTATAAGCTTTCTCCTTTTACCTTTCTAGTAGTGTATGCCAAGATCAACAATCATCCTAAGTGTATTTTTGTTTCAGATTTGAATATCTATTTAGTTTTGACAATGCATTTGAAATTCATGATGATATAGAAGTACTGAAGCGAATGGGCATGGCCTTTGGCCTGGACAAAGGTGAATGCAAAGAAGAACATTTAAAACAAGCAAGAGAAATGGTTCCAAAAGCCTTAGAACCATATGTGCTTGGTAAGTGACTTCTCAAGTCTTAGCTCCTGTTTTCTTCTAGTGTCTTTATTCCATCCCCACATATACAATATCTTTTTGCCTTAGTGTCGATAAAAATGCCTAAATATATGGATTTCTTGCAAGCTACTAAAGGTAGAAAATGTTGAAGCAGTTAAGGCAGTTGCGATCATGGCTGTCAACCCTGTGGTATGATGTTCGAACCTTGCAATACATTTAGCAAATTCATTTACCTACAATTGTCTGTATCCTCCCAAGAGTATAAATGGCTACCTTGTAGGCTTGAAAAACAAGGTAGTGATTACAAGCTGCCAAGATCACTTGCTGGGCATGTTGTGCTATGCAGAAACACTCCCAAACTCTTCCCTTACAAGGGGTTACGGTTTCCCCCCTTTTTTTTTGTAGTTCAAATTTGATGATCATTATGTTTTCTAAATATGTAAGTGTGAGGACAAGATTTGTCCTACTTTGTATGCTTACCAGCACATATTAATTACTAGAAGCAGGGAACAGTTAAATTTAACTGTTCCCTGGTAGAAGTGAAGGTCTACCTAGATAAGAAAAATGTTTTACATAAAATAACTTAGCTAAAGATTGCTTATATTGTTTGTTTTTTTTCTCTCTCCAGAAATGGCCCAGCAAAATAAAGGGCAAACAAATAGCACATCAATAATCGCAGGACCAAGCGGAATTCAATCGCGTGCATCGGCTAGTGCTGGATCAGCAAGCCAGACATCGTCGCAAGAACAGAGTTCATCTCCTTTGTCATTGGATTTTGAAGTTGCCTTAGCAACTGGACAGACAATGTCCCGTACACCAAGTATTGGGTCACATTCAAGCTTTGGTCATTCACGTGGTGCCACTGACACACCATCATCGTTGCTTGAGAGTGATGTTGATGGGTCCGATGATGATTTAAGTGTGGAATGAAAGTAAATCCACAGTAAAGTATAAACATAATTGATAAAGCACAAAATAAAAAAAATATCCATGAACTGAAGATATTAAGCTTCTTTGCTGGTCAAGTCCATGTCATATGACCATGTACCGAACAAATATGGATGGAATTTACATGGCTATGTAATCGCCAAGGAAAGACTTGATACACCATAATTGAGCAAGGTCAAAGGTTAATTCAACGTTGCTCTAGCTGCTAAATGTCCAATTGAATGGACTTAGTAACAGCCAAAAATCCATTTGACAGCCTTTAGTTTATTTGACTTGGCTTTGTAATGGATCAAATCAAGGTCAGTTGGTTCCAGCCAGTGATACATTTTGAATAGCGCAGTGATGGCCAAATGTCCTTATTGATGTGACTCTGCAATAGCTGGAGATCCAGTCGTCGTAGATCTGTACTGGTCATTTCTTGCTACCCCAAGTTTCTCACATTTAAATTCCAAGATCTACTGCATGCGCTGAGTTTGCTGATCGAGTGCCGTTATGATTTTGATGCGTTTCTGCTCATTTTATTTATTAACATATCTTGTATTGGTGTGACGCTGGTTGAAATGGAGCTTGAGTGCAAAATGTTTTCTTTTTAAAGTATATAAGTTTATATTACCTCTTATCAGTTTTACAACTTCTAAGTGAAGCAGTGCTGGCCAACGTGTTGACCAACCTGCTTAATGTTCTTGCAAAAAGATGTTGATAATTTATAAATTATTGCAATTGATGCAAAACATCCTGTCTTATGTTCATCCTGAATTTAGAATACCTGGAAGAATCTGCTTTATCACAGTTTTTGGGAAGGATTCCAGTCACAAAAAATATAAGTGTTGTCAACCCTCTATGGGCTATTTCTACAGATCAAATAATAGTCTTCATCATCTGGGCTACATTTTGAAAATGGAAGCACGTGTGAAATGCCTTTCTTGACACATGTTTATGTGAAAGGAACGCAAGGATTTTAGTGTCTAAGTAGATGTGGACATAGCGATTATTAATAAAAACAGATTGATAAAAGATTAAAAATATTACACAAGTACGAAAGATCACAAATCAGTTGTTGATTATGGAACAAAAAAAATACATGTTAAGATCAATTGCCTTTCAGTTTTCTTGCAAGATTATCTAACACAATGCAAAATTTTTCCCCTTCTAGCCATGGCAACATAGTACATTCTGTGATTTTAAAGCATCATTCCAACCTGAAACATATATACATATCTCAGTTAATTTACAGTAAGTTTGATTTTTATGGTCACAAAATGAAGATGGACAAGAAGAAGGTTCGAAAATATTAATTTTTGCATGATATTCATTTGTGGACAGAAACTGATGTATAGAAATCTGAAACCTCTAAAAGGAAGTCACCATGATATTTTCGCTCTGAAGCCATTATTCAGTACCCCCTAATGTTGATACATTGGGTCAAATTCAGTACCCCTCCATGTTGATAGATGGGGTCAAATTCAGTACCCCTCCATGTTGGTACATGTATCATATTCAGTACACCCCTTCATGTTCATACATGGGGGTCAAATTCAGTACCCATCCATGTTGATACAGGGGGTCATATTCTATACCTCTCCATTTTGATATAGATGGCCCCATTATATCAGCATTGCTGTTAGGGACACCTTCATTAAATAAAGTTGAATAAAAAAAAAATCATATTCATATACCCCTCTATGTTGATGCATCGGGTCATATTCAGTACCCATTCATGTTGATACATGTGGTCATTCAGTACCCCTCCTTGTTGATACATGGGAACATGACGGTGGAGGTCATGTGCAGTTGAGTCTGATTCATTACACCATGTATTTACAGATCCATCGATGTTGATATAAGGGGCAAGTTAGTACCTATACATTCTGATGTAAAGGATGTATCAAATTTACTTGCTACAAAACATGCTTCTAATGGGCAGTAGTAAAAGTTTTGAACACCTATTTTTTAATAAACCATTTTAATAAAATATGTCCTTCCAAATTCAAATTATCTGGCCAAATATAATTTACATTCAGTTAAAGAATTTAAGACATGAGGTTTATAACACAAACATGATAGAGCATTTTGAATATGTAAATATATTTTTGTCTTTATTTAGATATCATTTTTAATGATTAAATGAATTATCCTTAAAGGGAGAATATGATGAGACAAACAATTGCTCTCAGCAGGTTTAATGGATGTTTTGTGTGTATGTGTGTGTTGATTTTTTTTTAGTAATATGTTTAATTACGGGTGTTATTATGTACAGGATCTAATAGAATGTAAAGAGTATTGGAATTTATGGAAAATGTTAAAAACTAATGGAATGGCATTTATGAGTTATATCACAAATGTTTGGTTGTGTCCGACAAGAAGGATAGGATAATGGACCTTTCTGGGCTGTCAATCAAATATAAGAACTGACCAATCAGAACAGTGCCAGATTAACATTTACGTTCATTGTTTTGTGTAACCTAAGCAACAATATTGAAGGGGCGGGGTTTAGCAGAAATGTCCATTGTCGTCTAGCAGCATTCTTGTAGCGGATGTATTACGCCCTGATTATTCGACTTGGAATGCAGGTGTATCCATGATTGGAAGGGGCGATTCCTCCTTTTTGAAGGGGTTAGCCGAAACCAATTTACAGCCTCTTTGGTTGTGCTCTGATCTAATGATTCTTTAAAGGATCTCTAAATTTGATTGAATTTTAATTCAGCTTGATATTTCGATTTAGATTGGAGTACAAATTTTTGTAACTCTTTTTTGTGGAAGTGTTACTCCCTGATTCAACTATGAATATTTTCATTTAGATTGGATGAACACTTTTTGACACTCTAAAGGCAGTAACCAACCAAAATTGTTTTTTTTGTTTTTGCCAGTAATGATGCACTATTAAAACAACATTATGTATTATTGTAAAACAACTAATTAAATGTCACTGATGTTTCAAATGCACAAAAATCTTAAAGAATCTGGCCTTGTGCTACCTTCCATGCATTGTCCCCATTACTTAGTCCTATTGTGTTTCTAGGATGAAATGTCATGCCCAATTTTTATTTAACTAAAGCAAAATGGGATACTAATGAAGTAGACTGTGGGGTGCTTCACATGTTATCACCTGTTGAATATGCCATTTGTATTTGTTGAATTAGTCATTTGCATTGAATTGTTCTGAAAAAATGTTTAGGCTACCAGCATATGTTTGGTATAACAATATGCACTAGAATTGCTTTATTATTTATACTATGGATACATTGAGAGTTTGTACTACTAAGAAGCCAACTTGTACCGAGTGTAGAAATTTCTATTTGCCTGGCCCCAGAAGTTCTTTATACAGCTGCCAATTTCTATTTATAAACACTAAGTTTTTGTCCATATATATTAGGGTTCAAATTTTAAATGGGGTGTTGACACTAAAGCAGTGTGAATTCAACATTAAGAGCAGGTTAGGGAGTCACTTCAAAATTACTTTGCATCTGATCGTTCAAAATTGGGAGTTAAGTTTCCATGAAGACCAGATTTAGATCATTATTATCTTGATCAAATGTTCAGATTTATTTTGCTATTAAGAACATTACAAAAAAAATGTTTTGTTTAGTAACATGATGTATCACAAATGAAATATCTAGTTATATAACCAAAATATGATGTTTTTAAACATATTTTCTCCCTCTAATATTTCATAATGTTCAACATTATTTTGTTACGTTTGTATATACTTGCATTTTTACTTGACTGAAAAAAATGCTGAAAAATGATGTTCTCAAAATTTTCTGTAAAATCATATTGACAAATTTTCATAAGGAAATGTATTAACAATGGAACATAACTAGATAGAGAATCTATTAGGTGTACAACATTGCAAGTCAAAGGTCATTTAATACTAAGGTCATGGCAACACCTTAATTCTGTGACAACTAGTGAGAGAAATGATTGTTTACATTAATTATAGCATTTTTGTAATTCTGATAATTTTCATTTTGTTACTGTTGTTTTCCACAACTATAAATGGTTTGTAAGTGGAACTGCACTACAGCGTGTCTTACTTCATGCTTCACATGGCATGCTTGGTTTTTGATAACAAAGTTTATGAAAAAATTTTAAGTGGGTGTACCAGCTACAGACTAATTATTAAAAAAAAAATGTAAAAAGGATGTAAAAATATGAAGCCTGGTCTAAACTGATAGTCAGTTTATTAAATAGAAATTCAGAGTCATTTTTAATGAGATTTGTGGTGTGAATTAAATTTATAAAATGAACAAAGTACATTTTGTGGCTCAACTATAGATAAAAATGATGCATTTTCTAGTACTACTTGTATATTTTTTTTTTCTTTTCCAGTCGCGGAGATGATCGGGTATAGTAATGTATATTCCTACATCTTGGTTAATAAATGTCAGAGAACTGGAGAGATTTGAATTATTTTTGTCTTTACTGTTTACATTCTTCATTTCATTTCTTCCTCTTTCTTCATCAGTCCAATCAACATCAATGAAAATTTATTCATCAAATAGTTCTTACAACTTTGTTAGAGTATAGTCGGTGTGCGGATCTAGAGCCTCGCTTCCCAAATCTTTTACTAAGCCACGTGGTAGGTTCAACCAAGTGGAAGTTGTCCAATGTGAAGAGCATGACTTAAATTTTGCTCGGCTAATACAGCGCACATCACTGATCCTGTGTACATACAATCTTCTGTAATGTTCTATGTTTCTAGGACTACTTGACACACACACACCAATCAGCCACAGAGATTGGAACAGCTATTGAGGAATGACGTAGCAATTGTTCATTGGCACATATTGACATTGAATTACGAGTTATCTAGTTTTGATTAGGCTGGTTCAACCTTTATTATGTAAGTGTGTTGTGCCCTATAGGTAAATACCATTTTTTTTTTACTAGGTCCTTGAATCTTAATTTATTTCTAATGGAAGGATCTTCGAGGACAAACACGGTACATGATTATCAAATCCATTATGTAAGAAGTGACTTTCGGGACATCTGGTTAAATGAGGTTTCTTAACACATTTATTTTTAGTGTGCTGCACATGGTGATGCCCATCTGCAGTGACTTTGGTCAGATAATTGGTAGTAAAAGAATTAGTGGAAGATTGAGTATTTTCCAGATTTCTAGCTTGATTGTGAGAGACTTGTCCAGATTTCTCGGAGACCCCTGCTTAGGTCATCATAAATCTGTTTAGGTACATCACAACAGACAAAATAGGCTAACATTAATTTCGTGGAAATTGCAATATGCATTATCTCAAAATCTTTCCACAAGTTTCAAAAAGGCTTCAGGCTCGACGAAAGTTCTATCATGAAGTGATCGAAGCATTAACGTCAACTGCCAATGTGCACTTACTGTAGCCCAGTGGTGGGAAGGGAGGGCATTCACATCCCCCCCCCCCCTACATCCTAATAATATTATTTTGATTGCCAATCCCTAATACTGATCAAAAAGCACAATTTGCACCATACTAAGCCATAAAGACTCCCTGTAAACCCTACCAGTGATTTTTATTTTTATTTTTTTTATTATTTTTTTTGGACCCCTCGGACATGTCAGAACCCCTCTCAGCAAATTTCTGGAACCACCACTTAATCTAATTGTTAGGTTTACATGATTCTTAACAAAAAATAACCATTAAATCTGCCCAGGAAGTTTGTCAAGTGCTGAGTAATTACAAATTTAAAATCGATGTGGTCAATCTCTAGTAAAAACAACAAAACGAACAAGTATATATTTATCACTTTATTCCATTACCAGTATCTACCTTTCTTATAGAAAACAAGAAATAGTATATTTCCTTAAATATGTAGTAGTTTGCTGGGAAAAGCAGTCCTAACTATCTACCAGAGTTATTTGGTTTGATATTTTTAGGGGACAATAACAATTTAATTTATTACAGGACCTCTTTACTGCGAATATTTTGAATAATAACTGTAGTTATGAAGTTAAAAAAATGCTCACTTGGCTAACAGTCTTCATTTCCTACATGATCACACACTTCATTATAGAAGAGCATGGCTAGCCACGTCTACAATACAAGGATAGTCATGCCCACAGTAAATGTGTAGTCATGCCCACAATGCATACGTTAACAAAGTTCCCTCATATTTATCAACCACAAGATCAGAGAATATAAAATATACATTTCATCTTTAAGAAATAAAACATGTCTGCTAAATACATCTAAAAATAATAAATACACCTATTGAATGTAAAATTACATGGTAAAGACAGAACAATAGTTCATGTGATGCGACCATGGAACATACGCATAGACCTTGGAGATACATGGTAATATATTGATACTGTAAACTATGAAAAGAAAATAATAAAAATAGTTCAATTAACTACAGCTTTAAACACACCAGCAAAAGGGTATTACTTTATTAAACTGTATTATGATTTTTATAATTTAAAATTCTATAACATCACATTATTAGACACGGTTTCCTTTGCTTTTTTTACTTCTCATGTATAAAAATATTGGGACCCAAAAACAATTTTTACACTGTCCTACTACCCCACAAATAATTCTCCTCTCCCTAATTCATAACACTTAAGTAGACTTACACCTTTTTTCCCCCAATTTTGCTGGATCATTGCATTTAACCGATATTGTTCACAAAAAAATTGAGAAGCAATATACTTTACTTATCATTTTAATAAGTAGTATGTAGATAGTGTTACTATTACAGATTTTATAAAGATAAAATAATAAGAATATTAATAACCATAATAAATAATACCAAAAGAAAAATTATAATAGTTATAAGAATAACAAAATACGTAGGAATGTTTTAAATGGTATCAGAATCAATCTTTAAATGATATCAAGGTTAAAAGATAGATCCGGTCTAAACAAATTAAAACATGATACAATAGGGCAAACTGAATGGTGAAAGAGTTAGTGAGGGATGGTAGTGAAGGAGTGAAAGGAGAAATTGTTGGATTTTGGTCAGTATACATGTAGTTTGCATTGAAAGAATTCAATTTCTCTTTATTTCAGACCATGTCAATATCAAAACATATACAAAGCAAATGAGATTGAAATAGAGAAAAATATATATGTATACATACATTGCCATCTGAAATACTAGAATATATGCAAAATAAATACTAATGTAGATTACATACATATAATTTTTACTTGTGTTTTTTAACCTCATTGAGGTAGAATGTTTAGGGTGCTTACAAAGTGTGTGTCAATTTCTTTATTAAATAGGCCTATCTTGATAAACATTAGTATTACAGCATATTGTAAGCCTGGTTTCTATAAAATAAACTATCAAAAGTGTGTTAACGTTAACACTGCGATTGTTTGCACGGTGAACCTGTCCCTGATGCAATCGTAGGTTTTCCGATACGACCAACCAATCAGCGTCGCTGAAGGAGTCAGAAATTGCTTGTAACAATTTCATGGAAACCAGGCTAAACTAATGTAATGGTGATGGTACTACAAATCACAATTCTTTATTCACTGATAGTGAATTCATTATTTCTGATTGGTTGATGGTTTAATACTAATGCCTTCAATGCACCCAGCTAAACCTTAAACAATTCACTCAATTCTAGTTTTCAAAGTTGAAGGCAAGTTTTCAAAGTTCACACCCACTTAAAAAACAAAGGGACAACCCTGTGCCCAATGTGCATACAAAAATTGAGGGAATGTTGAGTGGTGGGATAAAGATAAAAAGTATGTGACCAATTGGGAGGTATTTTATAACTGAAATATTTGGGAAATAAATTAAGTTTTGAATATTTAATTAAAATGAAACCTAAATGAATTTCCTCCTCCTCCTCCAAATGGATTGAAACCAAATGGATTACCCCAGTGTCGATTCTGCTGTTGCTGTTCTTCTGCATCCAGGGGATCTTCCCCTCTATCGAACTTCTCACGCATTTCTGAAATAAAAATACAAGAAATATTTACAATACACAAAAACTGACCTGAACAGATCTAAATTCTTTTGCTTTTATAGATTACATAGAACTTCCATATCATCATCTAGTCTTCAATTCATCAACATTATTATTATTATCATCATCATAATGTGCATCCTTGCCATAAGGATTTGTAGTCACCCAAGGTAGCTAGGTCAGTAGACTTCGCTAGGGATGTTTGACCTAAGGTCAACATCTTTTAAAAGTGTCTTTGTTTCAAATGCCATTTCACTGAGCAAGGTACCCCCTGTTAGTAATGGAAACTTGAAAATTACACAAAATCAAATAAAATTAAATAAAATACATGAGGATCAATGCAAGACAAATGCCAAATTGCATGATTTACAAACAAACATCGATGTTCAACAGAATACTACATTTTCATCATCTTAATCACCGGTCCTTCATTCTCTTTGTTGTAATTCTCTAATCCTATATACTTATTTTCATTGTCATTAATTGCATTGGTGCCATCTGCATCCTCATCATCAATCATCTACATTCTCATCATCATCCCCATCAGCGTCATCATCTACATCCTCAATATTATCACAGCTGTCATTATCTAAGTCACCATCAATTATGCTCCCACTAATCTTGACTATGGGAAAAGGGACTGAGGATGTATGATGCATCTGTTTCTCACCTGGGGTGGTTAACACCTCCTTTGCAGCTGCTATGTCTATAAATTTGTTCTCTGCCTTTTTCTTTTCCTCTGGATCTTCAAACTTATCTGGATGCCATTGCATTGCAAGTTTACGATATGCTTGTACTATTTCCTTTTTCTTTGCATTTCTAGAAAGAGAAAATGAATCGTTTTTTGATAAAAAAAAAAATCATCATCATTGCCCTTTCTACCATCAACAGACACTTATCAAACTCATTAAATAATGCGTTTGAGTTTAGAACTATCCCTACCATCAGTATTTTAAAAATACAGATTACACAACACCCACCACCTTCAACAATTTTTTGTTTGTTTTTAAGATTCATACGGTTTAATCAGCAGGCCTATGATGAATTTTTCAGGCAATTTCTTCCTTTCACCCTCAACCTTGGGCACATAATATTGAATGGATACAAGCCAGAAGTTTTTTATATGCTGATCTTACTGCCAGGCATTTGTTAATGTCCCATTTTTACGTTCATTCCTTATAACAAGCATATTTTTTTAATCCTTTTTATACTGACCCTTACTGTCATTTTAACACTGTATTTTAATGTACTGTATTATATGCCATGTTGTAATTATTTTTCAAATATATTTGGCAATGTGTATATCCAAACAATGAATTTCCATATTACTTACATTTGTTTTTTTTATTATGAACATACATTAAATGAATCTTGAATCTTGATATACAAATCTCATTTATTACCATCTTGAAAAAGCTAATATTGGCTGGCATTTTTGGATAATAAATTATGTACTGCAGTGCAAAAACCCAGTCTAAATCCTGGCAGCAGGACAAAAACATGTGATATGCCTTAATATGGTCATGATGACATCATGATGACCATATATAGAAACAACATGAGTAAATATGGGCAGTCAACAGTTTTTTGTCAAAGAAAATTTGGTAGTCCGGACAAAGCTTAGTAAGTGAAGTTCCAATTACCTTTTAACTCCTAATATTTTATAATAATCACGTTTTTTTGACTGTTTCAGTAATTTATTGCCTCGTTTTAAAGCTTCTTCTGTTCGTTGACTTCCTTCTATACTATTTGCTTTTGTAAAATCATCAATTGCTGTAAACAAAAACAAAAAAAATCCATGTCAATATAGGTGGGCTTAATATCATGCAACACTGGGCATTTATACCATATAATGGAAAATTAATTGAATTGATTAATAATGTAAATAAGTTCCATGTCTTTTCATTTTGGTTCCATTCACTTTGATCCATTACAATGTGTTCAGTCGGAAGATTTGAAGACCTAACTTTATATTTCATAAAAAATCAAATGACAAAGAATCTATTATAGGTGTATTAAAAAACAAATAATGAATATTTTGATTTATGGAATGGAAAGAACATTTTCATTTGTTGCAAGATGGACTGTTCCTTTAACTACACAATCCATTTTTACACTCATAAAGAAATATTCTTTTCAATGCCCTCATAACTATTTATTATTTGTATAATATACTATCAGTACACCATGTATTATAGGCTGAGCTATGCCAAATGGTGTTAGATTTCATTTTAAACTTTACTACAGACAATAACACATTTTTTACTCAGTACACTCAACTGTATAAAAAAATGTGGACTTTTAAACATTTGGCAAGGTATGTATGCACCAATCGCACTTCCTGGAAACAGAGCTGTATGACTGAACTTAAATAAAAAAAGTACCCTAATATTTGAATTACCTTTATCAAAATCTTCATTTTGTATATATGCTTCTCCTCTATCTAGCAACAGGTCAATGTTTTCTTCATCATTAGCTAGCGCATCTGTGCATGTCTTAATTGCTTTTGATGTTTCCTGTCCTTTAACTAGGCAATGACAAATCCCTCGGTCAGCTCTAGATAAGTACGACCAGTTACTTGGCTCTGTTTTCTTTGCTGCCTCATATTTACCAATAGCATCTTCATAACTACAAATACAAAAGTGAAAACAATTGTTTATTGGTAACGTCCATTGCTGAATCCTATTCAATAATTTTAATAATTAATAATACTAATAATAAATTCCAAGTTAAATGAGCATGTAAAGAATAATTATTTTTGTCATTTATACCACTGATAATAAATAATAGTAGAGTAGAACCCCTCAATTACATACGGCAAGGACTTGTACTACTTACACTGGCATAAACTAGGCCTAGGCTAGGCTTACTTGAGAATTACATAGTACTGTATAGTATGGTGTGTTGTGTTGTATGCATGCTAATAACAGTTACAATTCGAGCGGATTTTTTTTTATATTTTGCACTTCACTTTTTATGACGTCCTCACCTTGTTTTTTACGTTCGTAAAATCAGGAATTTGTTTCTACTGTAATTTACTTTTATTTGTTCCAAAAATACTACTGATCATCAATTAAGGGCAACAGGTCAGCCTCTAATCTACTAGATTTTAACCAAAAGATCAACCCCACATCTATTGGACATTTTTAGCAAAAGGTCAACCTCACATCTACTGATCAACATATTTAGCAAACGGTCAACCTCACAATCTACTGATCAACATTTTTACCAAAGGTCAACCTTACAATCTACTGATCAATATTTTTATAAAAAGGTAAACCTCATATCTACTGAACATTTTTTGCAAAAGGTCAACACCTCACATCTACTAATCAACATTCTTAAAAAATGAAATCCTCACATCTATATTGATCAACAACTGATGATACTTACTTTTCTTCATTTTCATAATCTCTTGCTGATGTGAACTGTTTATTTAATTTTTTCATTTTTTTGTAAAATGGAAAACATTCTTTATGTTCTGGATCCAACTTCAAGCAATTTCGTATATCCCTAAAACAAGAAAAATTTGAAAATAATAAGTGTATGAAATAACATTATGACTTTCACTAACATAAAGCATTATGTATTTTTTATATTTATATCAATTTTACATATAATTATTCAATAAGAAGATTGAAATTACATGTGATCATTTATTGTTCAGTGATATGGTTTCAACTTTTAATATTTATTGGTCAGTTAATTGTTAAATTTACATTACAGAAAAAGTACCGTACATCAATCATCAACACTAAATTTAGATTTATCTATTTTAAGCATTAAACCAGATACAAGAAATTTAAATAAATAAATGAACATAGTAACAAAATTTATAGTAAAATACTATATTTAACCACGATTTGCAGTTCATTCATTACACTCTGTATGTTGTGTTTTTTTCATAGAGGTATATTTTATATGAGTTATATGTGTATATATAAATATTATAGGTGTGTTTGATCCTTTGAAGAGGGGTGGCAAGGCAGTGGTAATGCTCTGGGTTATAAAATGTCCATGTTTAGGTCACACATGATGGTCATTGGATTGGATTGGATTTATTTGGTTAAACACCAAGGATAGCCCACGAAAGTCTAGAAGACGACTTATTTCCAGTTGGGTCCTTCTGGTGGTGATTGGACAGTACACCGGGAGACAATCCCCTACTCTTTTCCGAAGAGTGTACTGTGTTCTTTAACGTGCACATGGGCCATAAATGCACACGGGACCAACGGCTTAAACGTCTCATCCGAAAGACGGTGTGCTATGTAACTTGTATTTCAGCCCTCTAGCTGAAACACAAGGAGAGGCAGCGATGGAAATTGAACCGGAGACCTAGAGATCTCCACGGTTCAGCGCACACACAGTGGCTACCACCAGATTAGCCGACTGAGCTAAGCTGCTCTCAATAAACGTAACAACTAAAAACTATATACCCTTGAGCATGTTACTCACGTTAATGCTTTGTCTAACTCTCCGATCTGATAATGTAGACCACTCATCTTGTAGAACCCTTGTGTGTTGTCGTTGGTTAGCTTCACCAGGACCTTATAGTCATCGATTGCTTTATAAACTTCCCCAACTTGTAAATAGCATTCTGCACGTTTCACTCGGACATCTGGAAACCACACACAATGCTAAAAGAAATGGAAATTAAAACCCATATAACAATCAATCAATAGCGTGTAGGAACATTTTTAAAGTACAGGTCTCTCTCCAATTAAAGACCATTTTTTGGGAATGGAATTTCCATGGTCTTTAGCAGCTTTGGTCTCATATTAGAATAATAAAGATAAAAGGCATTTGTTAAGTTGGGACCACAGAAAAATTGTCTTTAATTGGAAGTGATCTTTAATAGATGGGTCTATAATTAGAGGATGACCTTAACTCAAAAGAACTGGATTCTTCCTTTTCCTGGTTAAAATAATGTAGTTGATGGTTACCTAAATAAAACTTAAATCATGAAAACATAAAACTACATTAAAAACATTAAAATGCATTAAAAACTATAAACACATACATGCAACATTGTAAATGCTGTATTCAACAAAAATGTTTTTCTCTTTTATCTTACCTCTATTACAGCACTGTAATTAATAACAGCTTCGTTGAAGTTCCTAGCTTTCATGTGTGTGTTGCCTTGTTCTAAATGTGCCAGCAATGGGTCAATGAGTCGTAATTTCTCACCAGCTTCTTTGTTACCTGAATCCATTTCTGTCTGTTAGAAAAGAAAAACATGTTTATGTTTAACTATGCAGCATATTTGACTTCAGTTCCAGTACATTAACAAAAAAAAATTAAATAAATAAATAAAATAATATATTAAAGAATATCAATAACTAATATATCATCAATAACTGTTGAAGTTTCATTCAACAAAGAATAATAATAATAATCATTATTTATATGATTATATTTATATATAGGCGCCCTTCCAAAACAGACCAGAGCGCTGTACATATTAAAAACATAGTTATCAATAAAAATGTAAAAGGTAACAGTAAATCATTAAAATAACATTACTCACTGAAAGTTTTGATTGAAACTTTAACCTTTACTGACAGTAAATTGTTGGATCATTATGCTGACAATGGTTTAAGTTTCAATCGAATGTTCTGTTACTGTACTATCTATTACTATACTACTTCAAGTTTGTCATGTTTTTAAGATGTTTGAATTTGTGGAGACTTGGTGGATTATTAAAGTCGATGATTGATTGATTGATTGATCGATTGATTGTAGCTCTAGATTTTTAAAAAGTGAACTTACAACAGCCAGGTAGTCCTCCTTGGCAGCTTCCAGATTTCCTTGCTTCATTAAGATGTTACCATGGTTAACAAGGGCAGGAGAAAATTTTTTATTCAGTGTGCTACTTTTCTTTAAATCCGGCAAGGCCGACTTTGAGCGGCCCATAGCCAAATAGACAGTTGCCCTTCTGTAGTATGCCATGAAATTGTCTGGATCATTCTCTATGAATATTGGAAAATTAATAGGGAACATCAGTTCAATGATATGAATAGCATCTAACGAATATTATTTACTACAGAATATATTTACTGTCTAAAATAATATACAAGTAATATCCATTTACAAAGTAACATTTGCACTTTCTTTCCAAACCATTCTTCTGTTCATTTTATTTATTATGTATATATTGGAGGCGCTTAAAACAAATGCAATAATCTCCATCTGTTACCATTCCAGACCACCGACAGCTTGGATTACACATGAATAAATACTGAATTCTATTATGCACCGCTAGCACCACATCCAAAGTAAGAATTAACTAGAGGTACAGTAGTGGCTATTGTTCCACCAAATTCCCAATTCTGATTGAATGCAAGGATTGGAATACAACAACATTTGTATACACAGGTAAATAGGTCAATTTGTAGTTTGAACTATGCATGCTCGTATCCAAGGTCAATGAAGGTCAATCAACTTAAGATTATGTTGTGTGAATGGTGTTTATGTCGATTTACCTTAATACGAGCATGCACAGTTCTAACTATTTGGTTAAATTAGAAATTTGTTTACAACTTGTGTAACAATAGCAACTGCCATTACAATAAACAATTTTGGGGAAGGCATAAAGAAACGATTGTTATCGGTTAGAATCTACTTACCAATAGCGGAATTGTAATGATTCAAGGCTTCAGCAAGCTGGCCGGCCGCAAGGAGGGCATTACCATTCTCCATGTGTCGAGATGCATCCTTCTTCGTGGCATCAACTCCTGGGGAAAATAAATACCAAAGTTATTTGACCTATAGATACACAGTACTTTTTTGATATAAATAGGTATGAGAAGAACAGTGTAATACAACTAAAACCAATATGACAATACACAGTAAGTAAAATGGCAAAAGTCCTAAACCAGATGAAAATGTTGAAAACTGCAATGGATGGATGGATGAGTGCAAAGTTTAAGGATATCTCAACAAGTTTTACACTATAATATTGTGAAACCTTGGAAAAATCAAATAAAGTTAGATTGTTCGTAGTATTGCCTGCTAGGCCCCTATATACATAATTGAGCTCTTTCACAAATTTTTATATTAGCAATGACATGAAATTAATAATTTAAATTAATATGATCAAACCAAGTGGAAATCCACGCTAAGATTCAGAAGAAAAACATTTCATAAACATTCATTCATTCAGTCTCACAAATTATTCTACAAGATAAGAAATCATCCAATAAAATTCTGTAAGGAAACCGACAGAAAGTTGGAAAAATACTGACAAATCGCATGTATGCAGATGTTGTGTTCATAATAAATTTTGGAGGGTAAGCTTTTTTTTACGATTATTGCTTGGCCTCTATACCCAGGAGGATCAGACCACAAAAGACTCTCTTGGGAAACAAGTAAACAAGTAATTCTGTACCTAAGCCTAGGGCGTAGGCCCTAGCCTACTACTAGCTAGGAAGCCTACGAATGACCTGGTTCCAAAGGCCAAATTATTATAATAAATTAAGGTTTTAAGTTTTAGGAATTGGGCATAGCTAGGGATGTCCTACTTTTTTTTTTTTTTTCAAAATGGTATATTTATTTAAAATTCAAAATTCAAATTAAGACTTAAAACATAGCAGCCAAAAGACTGAATTGCGAATTATGTGTTAACAATTACAACAATTAAAAAAATCAAACAGCAAAGATAAAAAAACAAGTACATCAAAAAAGAGAAAAATATTGCATAAGGATCGATATTCTAT